CAATGATTATTATTTGCGTATGCTTAAGTTATGTGTTAGGGTTAGTTTGGGTGTTAACATTAGGTTATGAGTTAGGGTTAGGTTATACGTTATATTTATTATCATCCTTTGGATAATTAAATGCATAATGTCAATAATAATCTATTAATTTGACATCCTTTAGATACACATATTACATCCTATCAATTGAATATATTAATTTGACATCCTTAGTTACATATAATACATTCATACAAAAGAAAATCTCTCACTAGAGTATCATTCTACATAGTTTTATGCGTTATACTACATCCTGCTCTACGGTTAAGGAGATCTACTGTAAGCGTATTCTTCTTCTAAAATCCGCCTGGCCTGCTTGTATCTCATTGGCCGACTGAGACATATCTTATTCAGAAGCAGGCAGAATATTGGTTCTAAAATTAACCACTAGGAAAACAGGGAATAGTTTGATCAAATTCCTCCTTATACATTTGTACAACTTCCCGGTTGGTAAATATACAAATACAAGATCTGTGAACTCTGCCCACCGTGACCCCCCGCCCCTTGGCGCAGTGATTACCTGTACCAGTGTCTGGATTGATGTTATGAAAGCGTACTTTTGTTTGCGTTGGACAGTCGTAGGTTTGTTTTTAAAAGTCTTTGGTTTGTGATGAACATTCGTCAGTTTGTGTTGGACAGTCTTCGGTTTGTGTTTAACAGTAGTCGGTTTGTGTTGGACCGTCGTTTGGTTGTGTTGGACAGCCGTTTGTTTGTTTTTGACAGTGTTTGGTTTGTGATAACATCACTAGGTAGATAATGGGACTAATTTCTGATTGCCACACGCGCTGGTTTTTCCTTCACTTAGTAGTTTTTACTTGTAAGCTGTTCATTTATTTTGCTATAAGCTGATCATTTATTTTACTATAAGCTGGTCATTTACTTTACAATAAGCTGGTCATTTGGTTTGCTGCAAGCTGGTCATTTGGTTTGCTGTAAGCTGGTCATTTAGTTTGGTGTAAGCTCGTAATTTAACTTGCTATAAGCTGGTCATTTTTTTGCTGTAAGCTGGTCATTTGGTTTGCTGTAAGCTTGTCATCTAGTTTGCTGTAAGCTGATTACTTAGTTTGCTGTAAGCTGGTCGTTTACTTTACTATAAGCTGGTTATTTGGTTTTCTGTAATCTGGTCATTTGGTTTGCTGTAATCTGGTTATTTAGTTTACTATAAGCTGTCATTTGGTATGCTTTAAGCTGGTCATTAGTTTGCTGAATACTGTTCATTCGATTTGTTGAGGTTGTTCATTGGGTAAGCTGTAGGCTAGACAAATTTCGGGTAATTTTTTGGAAGTGTAGATTATATTTTGGAAGTGTAGATCATATTTGGGAAGTGTAGATTATATTTTGGAAGTGTAGGTTATACTCTGGAAGTGTAGGTTATATTATGGAAGTCTAGGTTATATTGTGAAAGTGTATGTTACTTCTATCTTGACTTTGTTGCTATTAACTATTTGAACTTTTGATATTTCTTCAACATTTACTTTTCACAGTGTATGTAGTATCAGTGCTAGATCAAAATATAATTACATTTACTGTAACATTTACCCAGCTATTAATGTAATTATCAAGTGTCAGAATTAACATCTACAACGCTGTCTATTTTTCCATACATCGATCATGAAGGGAAGTTGCTTGCATAGAGTCCATCAAAGGTCTCTTTCAATCTAGTCAATTCACTACACAGATAACAAGAGAGTAAAATCTAGTCAAATCACTACAATTCACTACACAAAGAATAAGGGGGTAAAATCTAGTCAAATCACTACAATTCACTACACAAATAACACGAGAGTAAAATCTAGTGAAATCACTACAACTCACTACACAAAGAATAAGGGAGTAAAATCTAGTCAAATCACTACAATTCACTACACAAAGAATAATGGAGTAAAATATTGTCAAATGACTACAATTCACCAGACAAAGAATAAGGGAGCAAAATGTAGTCAAATCACTACAATTCACTACACAAAGAATAAGGGAGTAAAATCTAGTCAAATCACTACAATTCACTACACAAAGAGTAAGGACAAGGGAGTAAAATCTAGTCAGTTCGCTACAGAAAGAATAAGGGAGTAAAATCTAGTCAAACGATTACAATTCACTACACAAAGAAATAGGGAGTAAATACTAGTCAAATGACTACAATTCATTACACAAAGAACAAGGGAGTAAAATCTAGTCAAATGACTACAATTCACTACACAAAGAAATAGGGAGTAAAATCTAGTCAAATTACAGCACAAAGAATAAGGGAGTTTATTTCAAACCATGACTCCAAATTGAGATCTAAATACAGTCAGTAAAACTCTATGTGGATTGGTTTTAAATTTATCACCTGCAAGTTTACATGTTCATTTGTTTTTAATGTAATACATGGATCTGTACAAGTGGATTCTTTTTCCTTCCAAATGTGAGAAGCTCTTGATTTGTCAAAATTGTTTAAAATTTGAATTAATGCCGCGGCAAATTATTACAGGTTTTATCAATACGCACAATTTTTACGTATGTCATGACGACACAAAAATTGTAACATGTGTTATGTATGCACAATTTTAGCATATGCTGTGAATGCATATAGTTATAATATGTATTATAAATTCACATAATTTTAAAGCATGTTGTATATTTAGAAAGGTTAAGATGTAATGGAACACAAGATAGTATTTGAAATCTACTTACCCCAGTAAACAACATAAACAACTCAGCAGTGCACAATATAAGCCACATAAACAACTCACCGGCGCACAATATAAGCCACATAAACAACTCAACAATATAAGCCACATAAACAACTAAAAAATATAAGTTACAAAAACAACTCAACAATGTAAGTCAAAAAATCTACTCAACAATGTAAGCAATAATAATAACTCAATAATGTAAGTAAAGTAAACAACTCAACAATGTAGGTTATAGAAATCAACTCAGAATTTTAAGTCATAAAATAAAACTGAACAAAGTAAGCCACAAAAACGAGTTTATTGTGAAATCCAATTAACAAAGGGCCGTGTCTTTTGGGGTAAAAGTAAGGACCTTAAAATTTAGCCTTGACCAGAGACAACCCTACCCTAACCAGAGAAAACCCTAACCAGAGAAAACCCTAACCAGAGAAAACCCTAACCCTAACCAGAGAAAACCCTAACCAGAGAAAACCCTAACCCTAACCAGAGAAAACCCTAACAAACTGACCAGAGACAACAATGTCTTAGGGTATTTTTCTGCTGTGTGTGTGGGGGTGGGGTGGGTGGTGAAGTACAGTAATTGAAGCCGGTGTAAGCCACTTGTCCTGACTGTAAGCATCATCCTGTCTGTAGGCAGCACGCTGTCATTGGGCAGCACCTTGTCTGGGGGAAGCACCTTGTCTGCAGCGATCAACCTGTCTTTAGAGTTAAGGGAAGTAACTTGAAATAAATTCAAATGAAATTTAAGTTTTAATTGAAGGGAAAAGGAAGCAATGGTGTGGGGCGAGTTGGAGAACGGGGAGAGAGAAGGGTAGGCTGGAGAACAGGGAAAGAAGGGGGAACGGGGGAAGAGAGGGGCAGGCTGGAGTACAGGGGAAAAGGGGGGGGGAAGAGAAGGGCGGGCTGGAGAACAGAGAAAGAGGAGGGAACGGGGGGAAGAGAAGGGCAGGCTGGAGTACAGGGAAAGAGGGGGAAGAGAAGGGCAGGTAAGAGGAGGGAACGGGGGAAGAGAAGGGCAGGCTGGAGTACAGGGAAAGAGGGGAAGAGAAGGGCAGGCTGGAGAACAGGGAAAGAGGAGGGAACGGGGGAAGAGACGGGCGGGCTGGAGTACAGGAAAAGAGGAGAGAACGGGGGAAGATGAGGGCGGGCTGGAGTACAGGGAAAGAGGAGGGAAGAGAGGGCAGGCTGGAGTACAGGGAAAGAGGAGGAACGGGGGAAGAGAAGGGTGGGCTGGAGTACAGGGAAAGACGGAGAAGAGAAGGGAAGACTGGAGAACAGGGAAAGAGGAGGGGACGGGGGAAGAGAAGGGTAGGCTGGAGAACAGGGAAAGAGGAGGGAACGGGGGAAGAGAAGGGCAGGGTGGAGAACAGGGAAAGAGGAGGGAACGGAGGGAGAGAAGGGTAGGCTGGAGAACAGGGAAAGAGGGGAAGGGCGTGTCTTCTCTTCGTACATTCTTGGAGAGACGGATACTTTTTTTAAAAAATGCCCATTATATTCAGTACCTGATGGTGCCTATTATATTCAGTGGCTGATAGTGCCTAGTATATTCAGTGACTGATGGTGCCTATAATATTCAGTGGCTGATGGTGCCGATTATATTCAGTGACTGATGGTGCCTATAATATTCAGTGGCTGATGGTGCCGATTATACTCAGTGAACTGTCGGCTATAAATACCTTTAATTCACGCAAGCTTCTTTTTGTTTTCTTTGTATCGTAAGATACGAGCTACTTTACACCACTATAATACAAGACACTTTACTCAGTTTAAAATTAGATTTTAAGTAGTGATTTTCCAAGTGACGGTTTAACCCGGACTTTGTTCCACTTGCAGTGAGATAGCCAAGCACAATAACCAAAGATGTTCGTTTTGAATTTTTTTTTAACCGTTATTTTCAATGAATCGCAACCTGGCTCTATATTTATCTTTTGTTAGAAACTGTTTCAGTAGTTTTGCTTTCGATGTCAAATGCTACATTTCATATTTACGTTGGGTATAAATATAACTCAGTTTTTCCTGTCTTTGCAGGTTAAGTTATTTCATTTTTCTTATGAAAACTTAGAGAGTCCTAATGCTGTTGTTATGAATGAACCTCTTGAAAGCCGACATTTTATCGAAAAGTCGTGTTGACTATCAGCGATGGACATCGGAGAGAGCTGATCAACATAGCTGTCTATCAGATGAAAATGGAGCAGAGGGGAATGGACGCTATGACAAAAATGTCTTTATTGTCTATGGCAGCGAAAATAGGAGATCTCCTGCAAGTGAAGGAACTTGTTATCCAAGGGCATTCACTCAACGCGCGGGAAGAAAATGGTGCGACCGCCTTACATTGGGCTAGCTCTCAGGGTCATGACAGAGTGTGTGATTATCTGTTGGATGCTGGATGTGATATCAATGCCCGGATCAAAAACGGCCCTACAGCTCTACACGTAGCTGTCGACTGTGGCCATTCCCAGTGTGTACAAGTTTTTATTAAAAGGTCAGTGTGCACATGTTTTAATATAAAGGTCAGTGTGTACATATTTTTTTTAAATATCAATGTACATGTTTTGATATCAAGGTCAGTTTGTAAATGTTTAAATATAAAGGTCAGTGTGGTCCACACTGACCTTTTTATTAAAACACGTACACATGTGGACACGTTTTGATATAAAGGTCAGTGTGTACATATTTTGATAATGATATAAGGTCAGTTTGTATATGTATGATAAAAAGATAAGAGCTCAAGTTGAGAGCGCTGTCTGCATAGCAGCCATTGGTGACTGAAGTTAGGGGTCCTGTCTGCATGGCAGCCATTGATGACTGAAGTTAGGGGTCCTGTCTGCATAGCGGCCATTGATGACTGAAGTTAGGGGTCCTGACTGCATAGCAGCCCATTGATGACTGAAGTTAGGGGTCCTGTCTGCATATCAGCCGCTGGTGCTTAAAGTTAGGTGTCGTCCATTATTAGGCCTATATCAACAAAACAGGGGGAGGGGTTGAAATGTTTGACAATTGTTGAAATGGGGAGGGTGTGGATTAGTTGACGTCAACAATCATATTTTCTCTATTAAAATGTTAATCTTAAAAACGTACTGGTTAATACATTATTTTAGCAAATTTAATGAGTGTAAATTAAAATAGTTATACCATTTTTAAGCTTTTAACAATAAAAGATTTATGTAATGTGTGTCTGTCTGTGCATTGCGGATGGCTGGTCAGAATGATAGCATACTTTGTTAGTGCAAGAGAGGTCAAAAGTTGGCCTCTCTTCGACTGTAAATTATATTTGTCGCAAATGACTAGGGCGGTATGTTTGCGGTCATGTTGCAGGTGATGAAATAAGGACAAGGTTCAAGGGTCATTTTTAGTTAAGATAAATGGTATTGATAGAGTAGGAATACGATATTTTGAGAATTAAGGGCACGTAAAGTGAGTAACAATAATAACATCGCTGCTTGAACGGATTTGCAAACTCTGTAACATTTTTTTTTTGCATGACAGTCATGTTAAAATAGCAAGTTCAACAGCACCGAAAATGCATAAGAAATTCCGGCTCCTCAACAAAAAAGGGTTCGACTAATGCAAGTTGCTGCCAGGAGACAGAGAGAGCTTATGGCAATCATTGCTCTCACTGACAATCCTTCTATTTTAATTCTGAATGGTTAGATGAGGATGATGTTGACTTGTCTGGTATATCAATTCCGCAAGATGAAAATGATAAATCAGCTACTATGACCATTTGTACGATAGATTTTTTTATTTTATTTTTTTGGGGGGATAGGGGGGGGGATGGGGTATATCAATGTTGACATAATTACCTGGGAAGGGGGGGTCACTGTCAGTTTGAATGTTGTTGACAGTGGGGGGGGGGAGATTGCTTTAAATTGTTGATGTAATTAATGGACGGTGACATAATTACCTGGGAAGGGGGGGTCACTGTCAGTTTGAATGTTGTTGACAGGGGGGGGGGGGGAGATTGCTTTAAATTGTTGATGTAATTAATGGACGGTCCCTCAGTGTTTCACATATAGCAAGCATTGGTAACTGAGGTTAGTGTTTCATGAAGAGCAAGTATTGGTAACTGAAGTTAATGTTTCATAAAGAGCAAGTATTGGTAACTGAAGTTAGTGTTTCATAAAGAGCAAGTATTGGTAACTGAAGTTAGTGTTTCATAAAGAGCAAGTATTGGTAATTGACGTTAGTGTTTTATATATAGTATATAGCAAGCATTGGTAACTGAAGTTAGTGTTTCAAAAAGAGCAAGTATTTGTAACTGAAGTTAGGTTTTAATATATAGCAAGCATTGTTAACTGATGTTAGTGTTTCATATATAGCAAGCATTGGTAACTGAGGTTAGTGTTTCATATATAGCAAGCATTGGTAACTGAAGTTAGTGTTTCATAAAGAACAAATGTTGGTAACTTAACTTAGTGTTTCATATATAGCAAGCATTGTTAACTGAAGTTAGTGTTTCATAAAGAGCAAGTATTGGTAACTGAAGTTAGTGTTTCATATATAGCAAACATTGTTAACTGAAGTTAGTGTTTCATATATAGCAAGCATTGTTATTTGAAGTTAGTGTTTCATATATAGCAAGCATTGGTAACTGAAGTTAGTGTTTCATAAAGAACAAGTATTTGTCCCTGAAGTTAATTTTTCATAAAGAGCAAGCATTGGTTACTGAAGTTAGTGTTTCAAAAAGAACAAGTATTTGTACCTGAAGTTAGGTTTTAATATATAGCAAGCATTGTTAACTGATGTTAGTGTTTCATATATAGCAAGCATTGGTAACTGAGGTTAGTGTTTCATATATAGCAAGCATTGTTAAATGAGGTTAGTGTTTCATATATAGCAAGCATTGGTAACTGAAGTTAGTGTTTCATATATAACAAGCATTGGTAACTGAAGTTAGTGTTTCATATATAGCAAGCATTGGTAACTGAAGTTAGTGTTTCATAAAGAGCTAGTATTTGTACCTGAAGTTAGTGTTTCTTATATAGCAAGCATTGGTAACTGAAGTTAGTGTTTCATAAAGAGCAAGTATTGGTAACTGAAGTTAGTGTTTCATATATAGCAAGCATTGTTAACTGAGGTTAGTGTTTCATATATAGCAAGCATTGTTAACTGAAGTTAGTGTTTCATATATAGCAAGCATTGGTAACTGAAGTTAGTGTTTCATAAAGAACAAGTATTTGTCCCTGAAGTTAATTTTTCATAAAGAGCAAGTGTTGGTAACTGAAGTTAGTGTTTCATATATAGCAAGCATTGGTTACTGAAGTTAGTGTTTCATAAAAAGCAAGCATTGGTAACTGAAGTTAATGTTTCATAAAGAGCTAGTATTAGTACTTGAAGTTAGTGTTGCACATATAGCAAGCATTTGTAACTGAAGTTAGTGGTTCATATATGGCAAGAATTGGTAACTGAAGTTAGTGTTTTATATACAGCAAGCATTGGTAACTGAAGTTAGTGTTTTATATATAGCAAGCATTGGTAACTGAAGTTAGTGTTTCAAAAAGAGCAAGTATTTGTACCTGAAGTGTTTCGTATATAGCAAGCATTGGTAACTGAAGTTAGTGTTTCATAAAGAGCTAGTATTTGTGTCTGAAGTTAGTGTTTCATAAAGAGCAAGCATTGTTGACCGAAGTTAAATTCTACATTGCCCTGTTCAATTATTTTTTTCAGAGGTGTTGATCTAAATGCTTGTACTGAGAGGGGCGACACTCCTTTGCACCACGCAGCATATCGAGGTTATTTAGAGATTTTGTCTTTGCTGACCAAAGCTGGTGCTGACCCTTGTCTACGGAATGTGCATGGTATGACCCCTTTGGAGGAAGCGTGTGCCAAGAAACACAGTGATTGCGCCCAACATTTATTAAACTACATAACTCAAAGAAAAGGTCAGCATATTAATTACTCAGTTCTAAAATAAGTCATTAATTTTCTGAATTGTATGATTACTTTTTAAATCAAATATAATGTTATATTAAATGTACTAATGTTAAATATGTAGAAAAAAAACATTGAAAATAGTTAAATCTCACAGTTTATAATTGAAATTTAAGCTTAAATGTTTAATCAACATTTCATTATCAAATATTAGATTGCTAAACCAAATCATCAGCTTTCCCGAAAATGTGGAAATTATTGTAGGCTATGAATTGTATCACATAATAGTATAGGCCCACTGCTAATTGAGTCAGCTTAAAGTATAAAATTAAATAATTTCAGCTAATATAAATTATTAGTCAGCTTAAAGTATAACAATTCTTTACCGTTTTACTACATGGTCTTAATATATGACTGAATTTAATGTCAAGAACAAATTACATGATAAAATAATAATAAACAATGTTGCCTGACCTATTTACAGTTGACGCATCAAGTTTGAATTCTTGGAAAAATTGTCATGACAATATCTTGGAGAGAGAGTATCATGACTTACAACATCATAATGTGACATCACCACAAACCTCTTTGACTTTAAGAAATTACCAAGAGGGAAAGGAGAGCCCAAAAACCAAAAATCATGTATCATTAGATAATAGACATGGAAGAAACAGGTCTGGTCCTCCTAATGTCAGTGGAGTCATGTCTTTAGATTCAGATTATTCCTCTATGTCACTGCCTTATACATCCCCTGGACAAAGTGCTCCATTTTGTGATGTGTCTTTGCCCTCACTAGGTTGCAAAGAGGAACAATCTAGTTTTAGTTTTGATTCTCTTTTAAGCAAAGCTGTACCAATAAGGGCAGAGTATGGTTCTCCAACAGCTCAGAAACAACAAGCAATTTGTGATAGTATAACGAGAGGAAGCACACTCTTAAGCCAAGAAGAATCCCACTTTAAGGTATCATCTCCTCCAGCACTACCGCCACGACCATCTTGGCTTGCTAAAAGAGACTATCCCATGCAAAGGGAAAACAGTGCATCTTTCAATGAGATTTGTGAAAAGATCAAATTCCCAAGACAAAAAAATCAATGGACTGAAGTTTTACCCGGACTTCAAATGAGTGATTTTGTTGAACAACTTCAGCTGAAGGTTCTAGAACTTCAGGAACAACTTTCTACAAGTCAGACTTCCAATGTTAAACTAAGACGAAAAGTCAGTCAAATGGAGGCTGAGAATCAAGTCCTGAAAGCAGAAAATGAGCAACTCCTGAAGTCACTTGATAAAAGAGGCACTGGCTCATTCAGTCAAAATGGCTATGGCACTAAGTTCTTTAGAGAACCTGTCCATGGATTGTCAGAGCTGGACGAAGGTGTTCATTCATCATCATTCATTGCATCATACAATCAGAGTAATGCAAGTAATTTACAGTCAGGCCTCAGGATAAGTAGAGAACCAGTTGAAACCAATGACAATGTATGACAGTATTGAGTAAGTAAAGACATATGACAGTAAGTAAAGAGACTGACAGTAAGTAAAGACATATGACAGTAAGTAAAGAGACTGACAGTAGGTAAAGACACTATATGACAGTAGGTAAAGACACTATATGACAGTAGGTAAAGACACTATATGACAGTAGGTAAAGACACTATATGACAGTAGGTAAAGACACTATATGACAGTAGGTAAAGACACTATACTTTATCACCAAGATCAATTTGAGAGCAAAATTGTACTTGCAAATTGCAAGTACAGTTTAGAGGTACATTTTTTTAGAAGGGATATCATTAATGTATTGAAATACTCAGCTATTTAGGGCTTGGAGTATTTCTTGGTAATATTTATTTATGCTGTGATGTTTTTTTTAAATTAAAGACCAAATTGTGCTTTCTAAAAGTTAATTAGAGAATATTGTGTGAAAATGTGTGATGTTTAAAACTTAATAAATCAAATTTGTGTGAGAATCAGTGATGTTCGGTCATTGTAATCTAAATGGTGCTATCAATTTTTATATGTGAAAATGTAGTAATACTGAAAGTCATCCATCAATTGGAGGGGATTGAACAGGTGGTCAAATTAGGAGACTTAATCATAATGCATACACAATGTTTATATGCAACAAAACTCATGCAAGGACATATGGTTTTACTTGGAGGACTTATGGATTACTTGGAGGACATCCGGTTTACTTGATCACTAGCCATTTCACAAGTCCTGTCCTTTTGTTTCTCTTACAACTGAGAATAAGGAGCTGTTTTAAATCTTGAATGTGGAGAATATGCACACATGTTATATGTATTTTACATGGGAACGTCTTAATTAATGAAAAACTTGAAATGTCTAATCCAGGTTGACTTAGAAGTGTATGTGAATGTTAATACAATATACAAAACTGATCTCAAGTGATTTTTTTTTTTTTAAATGTATGTATGAAGATAAAATTTGGATCATTTTTGAATGAAAACAATGGAAAGAAATTAACTTTGCTTAACAAAGATGCCAGATGTTGTTTTGAAAAATCTCACTCATGATATAATCTAATGTACGTGTTATAATAACTCACTCATGATGTAATCTAATGTACATGTTATAATAACTCACTCTTGATGTAATCTAATGTACTTGTTAGAATAACGCACTGATGATGTAATCTGATGTATTTGATAGAATAACTCAGTCATGATATAATCTGATGTACTTGATTGAAAAAAGCAGTATTCCTTAATTTAATATAAGGAAATTAGCTATGTTCTTAATCTAAAAATATGTATTATAATAATTTGAATGAAATTAAAATTCTTCAAATGTCATTTTTTTATGTAGAAATTCATTTAAATTCTGTATCTTTGATGTATAGCTTTGCCAGTTGGAAGTCATCCTCCAATGGTGAAATAACCTCTGTAGCTTTGCCAGTTGGAAGTCATCCTCCAATGTTGAAATAACCTCACTAGCTTTGCCAGTTGGAAGTCATCCTCCAATGTTGAAATAATCTCAGTAGCTTTGCCAGTTGGAAGTCATCCTCCAATGTTAAAATGACCACAGTACCCATGCCAGTTGGAAGTCTTCCTCCAATGTTGAAATGACCCCAGTGATATTTTATCAAATGAAATAAAAATGTTTGCAGTTACCATAGCTACTGTAAACACTTTGCCTTATTATTACTTGTCTAAAAACCTGCAAGACAAAATCAACTGGATACATACTCACATTCTTTAAGTATTTTAAAAACTTAATTAGTGATTGAGAGTGTGATGGCATGTAAAGAGAAGACAGTCAGGGATGCTAAGGAGAGTCTGATGGCATGTAAAGAGAAGATAGTCAGTGATACTAAGGAGAGTCGGAGGGCATGTAAAGAGATGATAGTCAAGGATACTAAGGAGAGTCGGATGGCATGTAAAAAGGAGATAGTCAGTGATACTAAGTTTCTTCTCTTTAGTGAATGTAAATAGTGGAACAGAGTGTGCTGGGTGGCCGAGTGGGCTAAACTGACTCAAACCAAATAGCTGGCGGTCTAGAGTTCAACCCTGGGTGGATGGGACTCGTTAGCTTGGACGGCAACTCATCTAAGAGAAGGCAAACTTTGAACTTAAATCAGGAACCAGAATGTTCAGAAAATTGATCGTGGGCCCTTAAATATAATAATAATAAGAGGAGATATGTTTAGACTAGAAAAAAAAAGAAAAGAGAATGCCTTGATCAGAATATCAATCCATTGTAAAAGATTAAAAGTGATGGTGATATCCTGATTGCTATGAAGTAACAGGTGTTTCATCAAATTGATGATACCCTGAATGTTATGAAGTAACAGGTGTTTCACCAAATTGATGATACCCTGAATGTTATGAAGTAACAGGTGTTTCACCAAATTGATGATACCCTGAATGCCATGAAGTACCAGGTGTTTCACCAAAGTGGTGGTACTACCATTTTCTTTATTTAAAACCTCATTTTTTTCTGCAAATATTTAGTTTCTAAATGTATTTAAACAATAGATTTGTAAGGCTCAAGGTATCCCGCACTAGTCATATTTCTTAGCTATGTTTGAGTAATGAAATGATGAGGGAAGAGCTACTAGCAGCAGGATTGACCTATAAAAACATCCATTGTACATAGTACCAGATATTATAATTATCTACACACTACGGGTATTAATAATGTATATAACGCAATGCAAACAAAGATTAAATATAAATATATCCACCACCGAAGTAGATAACAAGTTCATTTGTGAAGAATCGTAAAAATAAACGTGAACAACCCAAGTTATGCTTTTAATTGCTTTTATGTGTTCTTTTGTGATGGTCAGATTATACAAAAAATAAAATGTGTTGTCAGACTATTCAATTAAAATAAAGTATAATTTTTTCCTTGATGTTTTCTGTTATTAATTTATAAATTTAGTTTACAGATATATTTCACAACTATGTACCAGTACAAACCAAGTTTATTTTCACAACAATATACCAGTACAAACAAAATCTTTCAAAATAATTATAACAATCTGTAACTACAATAGCAAATTATTTTTTCCGTAATATTTAACTACTTGGTGCTGGTATGTAAATGGTAAAGTAAGTGTTGTGTCTGGAGTAATTTAGCTTATTGATGCTTTGTATCTGAAATGGTTGCTGTGTGGGGCTATATGATTTGTACTAGATATGCTGTAATAATATTGGTTGATGCATGTCTTTTGGGTATTATATTTTAGCAGGGTTTATGATTTGTATGGTGTACGATGTTAGAGGTGTCTGTTTTGTAAGGTGTATTGATGTATATTTTAGATGTGAAGCTTCTTTTGTATAGTAAATGATCTGGTACCCATACAAATATTTTTTATGGTGTATAATATATGGTACTTGTGTACATTTTTAGTATGGTGTTAAAGATATATGTTTTTTTGGGTATCTTATATTATAGTTTTTTTTTATATTTTGCATACCTGTATTGATGGAAAAAAAAAAAAAAGGTGTTTTGGTACATTTATTGGACTGGCTGTGACGTGTTAAGTTGTTATATTGAGTTGGCAATTATGAACAGAGTTTGTTGTAACACAAAATTTATCATTGCTTAGATGTATATTTCATTTTTTGTATGTATTCGACTTGTTCAAAGATGCATAATTGAGTTTTTGTAAGTATTCTACCTGTTCAAAGATGTATATTTGAGTTTTTGTATGTATTCTATTTGTATATTCGAGATTTTGTATGTATTTGACTTGTTCAAAGATGTATTTTTGAGTTTTGTATGTACTTGACTAGTTCAAAGATGTATATTTGAGTCTGTGTAAGATTACAAATAAAAACTTCAGGGAATTCTTCACATTAAACAGTGAGAGACAATGTTGTTGATTATAGTTAATAAGAGTTAATGATATTAAATTAACAGTTGACCTTTATATATATCACTGGTTTGTTTTTCTTTCAGGCCTTCTCAAGAATCATATTTGTTTCTGTTGTAAATGTAACAATTTTAAAAAAGCCTTAATTACTTCATCCAATAATTCAAATGAAAGAAAAGCTTTATTCACCTTTCCTTGATTCATGTTTCATAGGGCTAACTAAAAATAGCATAGGCCTGACTTAACATAGCGTAGGCCCCTTTAGAAATTGCATTTGTATAATGATACAATTTTTGTGTTTCAACATTAGAACATAAGAACTGATTCAGTTATTTTAAAATGACAAAAAAAAAATTAAAAATCTGAATTTATAGAGATTCCCTGGATGTAGAAACAGTGGGGGCATCCAATTTCAATGTGAGAAACACTTCACTTTCTATATGACAGATTAACACAGAAAAGCAGACATGCTGTATGTTGAAATGCAGTTGTCTCTAAGTTCCTAGGACTACATTCCTAGTGGTGATATTACTTACAACCAGGAAGATATAATCAAAGGGCTGGTGTTTGTCATGACAGTTTTCTCATTTGATAATCTCTAGACCAATGACTTAGTTAATCCTGTTACAAGAATTAACTAGGTGAACCATGCCCCTTATAAAGAAGGATTTTACTTCATGGTTATTAGCTATGAAATAGTGTCTTTTTTCTAAACAAGGAAGATATGAACTAAATGTAGAGTTTAAGTTTAAGAGTAGACAAACTAAAAAAAATTTTTTTTCCAAAATGAAATAAAAAGCAAACGATGTATTATTAATATTTAATTTTAATATAAAAAATTAAGTTCTTTATGATCCATTAAGGTGCACTCCATATAATACGTACACAAAAAAGGTCAAATTTTCGTACCCCCTCCCCCCTGTTCCACACACCCTATGCATAAGACATCCCATCCCAAATCTCTATATCAGAATATATACAGACACTTATGATGTACAAGGCAATTAAACAAAGTTCCATAATATGCTTGCATGGAAAACTACATATGTATGGCTCCTTATTGACCTAATTGAATGGCATACAAATCTAGGCAATAGGCTGGGCCCACTTGGTAAGTCAGATGGAAAATCCCTTCAAATTGCTCTAACATTTATAGATTAAAGCTTGATAGATCAGCATAGCCCTACCAAAACTCATAAACATATGTCAACAGCCCATGGGTCTTGTCATTACACATACAGAAACTAATACTTTGATCAGTGGCACTCAATTTCTGGCCCTTACATATTTTGATGATGTAAATAATGTGACTCTATTGAGAAGTGATAAGATTCTTTTATTGATCCAAATAAAAGGATTTGTTTTTTTTATTACATTGTACATATTAAAACAGAGGTCAGCAAACTTACTAAAGTGGGGATTAACTAAATTAAACTGGATTTCATCTGCATGTGCTTTAGCATACTGTTCATTTCTCTTTAAAATACTGTTCCTTACCTCTTCAATGTACTGAGAATAGTTAGGGCAGTGATATTCCCTTTGTATTGACATAAGAACATGATAGAAAAAGTTACTGCTTGTGTTGTCATAAGAACATGATAGACAGATTGATGGCTTGCGTTGTCATAAGAACATGATAGACAGATTGATGGCTTGTGTTTACATAAGAACATGATAGACAGATTGATGGCTTGTGTTTACATAAGAACATGATAGACAGATTGATGGCTTGTGTTTACATAAGAACATGATAGAAAGAGTGGAGGCCTTGATTTGACATAAAAGATTATATAAAGGGGGGGGGGGCGCAGGAATAGGTGGACAAGTCTTTAGTATGGTACCTAACAGTGAGTATAAAAGTCTGTAGATTGTTAACTGTACACTGTCAATACTGTAGAGCATAGATTTTTTAAAAAGGTTTACACATAGGTGATTTGTATTTGGCAGTTTTCACAATTTTCCAGGACAAAAACATTAAAATTTTAATCAAAATTTTAAAAAAATCTTATTAACTCTATAAATAAGTTACAACCTCTCTATACTTTTCACAACTGTTTTGGCTCTTAACTTATAAACAGAGTGCATTAGTTTGACAACAGCCATTCATAGGATGTTGTCTGAAGGTAGCATAGTGAGGCATGGAAGTCAGTCAGGGTGTACAAATGTACCTCAATGGAAGTCAACCAGGATGTACCAATGTACCTCAAGGGAAGTCAACCAGGATATA